TCATGAGAAATCTGTATGCAGGTCAGGAAGCAACAGTTAGAACTGGACATAGAACAACAGACTGGCTTCAAATCAGGAAAGGAGTACATCAAGGCTGTATATTGTCACCCTGCTTATTTAACTTCTATGCAGAGTACATCATGAGAAATGCTGGGCTGGATGAAGCACAAGTTGGAATCAAGACTGCTGGGAGAAATATCAATAACCTCAGATATGCAGATGACACCACCCTTATGACAGAGAGCACTAAAAGAACCTCTTGATGAAAGTGAAAGAGGAGAGTGAAAAAGTTGGCTTAAAACTCAACATTCAGAAAACTAAGATCATGGCATCTGGTCCCATCCCTTCATGGCAAATAGATGGGGAAACAGTGACAAACTTTATTTTTCTGAGCTCCAAAATCACTATAGATGGTGACTGCAACCTTGAAATTAAAAGATGCTTGCTCCTTGGAAGAAAAGCTATGACTAGCCTAGAGAACATATTAACAAGCAGAGACATTACTTTGCCAACAAAGGTCCGTCTAGTCAAAGCTATGGTTTTTCCAGTAGTCGTGTATGGATGTGAGAGTTGGACTATAAAGGAAGCTGAGTGCCGAAGAATGGAATGGATGCTTTTGAACTGTGGTGTTGGGGAAGACCCTTGAGAGTCCCTTGGGCAGCAAGGAGATCCAACCAGTCCATCCTAAAGAAAATCAGTCCTGAATATTCATTGGAAGGACTGATGCTGAAGCTGAAACTCCAATACTTTGTCCACCTGATGTGAAGAACTGACTCATTTGAAAAGACCTTGATGCTGGAAAAGATTGAGGGCAGGAGGAAAAGGCATGACAGAGAATGAGATGGTTGGATGGCATCACCGACTCAATGGACATGGGTTTGAGTAAACTCCAGGAACTGGCGATGGACAGGGAGGCCTGGGATGCTACCGTCCACGGGGTCGCAAAGAGTCAGACAGGACTGAGCGACTGAACTGAACTGAATCTATTGTTCCTTTTTCTTTTGAAAGCATTGTTTCCCATACCAGGGTTGGTTTGTTGAGATCACATTTATTTCAACAAACTCTATTCAAAGTATTCCAACTACCAATTCAAGGAAAAATGATGCCAGTTTTCCACTTAGTTACCCGGTCCAACCCTACCCAGTGACTTTCAATTGAGCGAAGTCGTCCCAGTCTTTCAACTGAGGATGAACCTCTCGGTGTCTAAACTGAGCAAAAATCTTCCCAGCATCTTTCTCTGAGGATAACACAGATACCTCTTCTTGAAACTTAAGTTTCAAGGGTAACTGACTCCTCCAGAGAATTTAAATACCACTGAATAAAACTTAGGATCATCAGCCAATAACAAGAGATTCAATCACCAGGAGACACTCACCCAGATTCCTCTGGAGTCTCTGAAGAGGTGGATGGGTCCAAGAGGTCTCTGCTGGCACCAAGCTACAGGTCCTCATCGAGTTCAGGTGAAGGAGAGAAGTCTGTTTGGGTCCCTTCTTAGTCATCACAACTGTGGACTAAAAGAAATGCACAGCCTAAGAGTTGAGAATCATGTTTTATTTGGAGAATTTTCTGAGGACGTAAGCCCAGAAGGCAGCCTCAGATTGCTCTGAGGGGCTGCTCCAAAGAGGTCAGGGAGAAGCCAGAGTATATAGAAGTTTTGCAACAAAAGCCAAGTAGTCAGAACATCAAAAGACTACTGTTTATTAAAAAAAAAAAAAAGCCAAACGTCAAGTTAAAGAATTTAGTGCTTTTCTAAGTATAGGAAGATCCAAGAGGCTGGGTTCATTGAAATCATCCCTTTGATTTGCACCTCAGCTATCTGGGGCCAGCATCCTGCTTTCTGCCATCCTGGGTCCCCTCAGGGTGAACAGTCCAGGCATCTGCCCGTGGCTGCTGGCTTGGTGACTGCAAGATCCTTCATTGACTGATATGGCAGACAACATTTTTCATCCACCCCAGAAACCACTCACCTTTCAGCCGCTTGGGAATCACCCTTTCTTCTTGCCCTGTCCTCAGGAGCAAAGGTTGAATGTACGCTTCCTCACTTTCCCCTCCCAAACTGGCAGCATCTTCAGTGGGCAGCTTCACTCTGAAACATCCCTGCCTCCAGCCCCTCAAAGCAAGCTCAGTATCATCTCCAACCTCACCATGCCGTTTGTGGAAAACCAAAAGTAACTCCTCATGATATGATTTGGTGTATTAGAAAGGGCAGTGACCCAATGGCTGAGTCAGTTTTTAGGGTCCCCCCGGTCTCTCGGGAATTTCTTCACCTGTTGAGGTGGGGCTGCACCTCTGTCAGACAGGCACAGTGGCCTTGATAATCTCCTAGGTCTCTCGAGAGGCCAAAAGTCTAATTAAAATTTCAAAATTCGAGTGCACTAAAGACCCATAATGAAGATCATGTCAAAGAGAAAAAGGTGAAGAAAGGGGCCTTCTAAGAGTCTGTAAAACAGAAAGACATACTTCACAAAATCATAGATTCTTAATGTTGGAGGAGGCCTTACAGATGTTTTTCCAAAACCCTCACATGCATAAAAACCACTCAGAGAGCCCCTTAGAAATGCAGACTGAGATTCAGTAGGTCTGGCTGAGGGCTGCTTTCTCCAGGGGCCACACTTGGAGGTATACCTCGAGGGTATACCCATGGTTATCACCTTGACAGCATGTGGGGATTACTCAAGAAGCTTTAAAAAATACTCCTGCCTGGAAGTCCTGCAGCCCCTCCCCCTCCACCCAACAACGTAACTGATTTATTTCAATCACTTCCCCCTGATTCTAATCTGCAGCAAAGTGAGAACCACTGCCCCACATCAGTGCTTCTCAACTTTAGCACATATCTTCATCATCTAGAGAGCTTGTGAAACCACAGTTCTCGCAAGAGTCCCAAAGCAGAGATTCTGACTCAGCAAATCTGAGGTGCAGCCTCAAATGTGCATTATTAACAAGGTCAAGAAGCAACAGTTAGAATTGGACATACAACAACAGACTGGTTCCAAATAGGGAAAGAAGTACGTCAAGGCTGTATATCGTCACCCTGCTTATTCAACTTATATGCAGAGTACATCATGAGAAATGTTGGGCTGGATGAAGCACAAGTTGGAATCAAGACTGCCAGGAGAAATATCAATAACCTCAGATACTCAGATGACACCACCCTTATGGCAAAAAGCAAAGAAGAACTAAAGAGCCTCTTAAAAGTGAAAGAGGAGAGTGAAAAAGTTGGCTTAAAACTCAACATTCAGAAAACTAAGATCATGGCATCTGGTCCCATCCCTTCATGGCAAATAGATGGGTAAACAGTGGAAACAGTGATAGACTTTTTTTTTTTTTTTTGAGCTCCAAAATCACTGCAGATGGTGACTGCAGCCATGAAATTAAAAGATGCTTGCTCCTTGGAAGAAAAGTTATGATCAGCCTAGACAGCATATTAAAAAGCAGAGATATTATTTTGCCAACAAAGGTCCATCTAGTCAAAGCTATCGTTTTTCCAGTAGTCGTGTATGGATGTGAGAGTTGGACTATAAAGAAAGCTGAGTGCCAAAGAATGGATGCTTTTGAAGTGTGGTGTTGGAGAAGACTCTTGAGAGACCCTGGGCAGCAAGGAGATCCAACCAGTCCATCCTAAAGAAAATCAGTCCTGAATATTCATTGGAAGGACTGATGCTGAAGCTGAAACTCCAATACTTTGTCCACCTGATGCGAAGAACTGACTCATTTGAAAAGACCCTGATGCTGGGAAGGATTGAAGTGGGGAGGAGAAGGGGATGACAGAGGATGAGATGGTTGGATGGTACCATGGACTCAATGCACATGAGTTTGAGTAAACTCCGGGAGCTGGTGATGGACAAGGAGGCCTGGCATGCTGCAGTCCATGGGGTCCCAAAGAGTTGGACACGACTGAATGGCTGAACTGAACTGAAATGTTTTCCCACTATTTAGGGAGCAACGTCACCCCACTCCAGTACTCTTGCCTGGAAATTCCCATGGACAGAGGAGCCTGGTAGGCGCGGTCCATGCGGTCGCTAAGAGTTGGACACAACTGAGTGACTTCACTTTCACTTTTCACTTTCATGCACTGGAGAAGGAAATGGCAGCCCACTCCAGTATTCTTGCCTGGAGAATCCCAGGGATGGGAGCCTGGTGGGCTGCCGTCTATGGGGTCACACAGAGTTGGACACGACTGACGTGACTTAGCAGCAGGCAGCAACTGATACAGGACTCCTGCATCTTCAGCAACAAGCAGAGTCCATGATACACAGTGGATGCTGCTCAGTATCAGCGGATAAACTGAATTAAAAGCAAAAACCATCAGAGGTGAGACACTAAACAGCAGAGTTGTTGTGCCAGGTTGCTCCAGGCGTGTCTGACTGTTTGACCCCATGGACTGTAGCCTGCCAGGCTCCCGTCCATGGGATTCTCCAGGCAAGACTACCTGAGTGGGCTGTCATTTCCTTTTCCAGGGGATCTTCCCAACCCAGGGATGGAACCTGGGTCTCTTGCACTTCAGGCAGAATCTTTACCGCTGAGCCACCAGGGAAGCCCGCACACAGCAAAAACCTAATCTAAATTCTAAAAGGAAAACTATTTCTTTTTTCAACAAATATTATATTGAGCTAGGCATTGTGCCACTAGAGATAAAAGACAGACATGGTCCCAAATGTACAGCTTACATTATAAATGACGACTTAAGTGTCTCATTTGAGGTGACAATCCCTTTGATCAATCCGAAAAGAGAGAGGTAGAGAGTGACATACTTCACAGGAAGGCTTTTCCCACCCTGCGAGCAGGAAGAAGAGCACATGCTCACACTGAACCAAACAAGCTCCTAGGTGATGCTGAGTCTGCTGGTCCCTTGGCCTTGGAGGTCATCCAATTTCGCATCAGTTTCCCACGTGGGAAACCAAGATGAAATGAGTCGTTCAAGGTCTCTTCCTTCCGTATCTCCTGACTCTGGTCCCCAGGTATATACTCCGCCAGTCCTTTCTGCGTCCCGCATTCTTCCCCTAGTCCTCCGCTAATCTCCAGAATGAGTTTGTGCCCTGGGGCTCCGGAGGGCCGAGGTTCCGTGCGGTGGAAGGCTCTTGAGCTACCCTTACCTGCACAGTCCGACACGAAGACCTGCGGTCTTGCTCTGCCGCTACCAGGGACCCCGCTCGCTGGATTCGAAATCTCGGCTGGCAGCGCGCGACCTCTCCTAAAGAAGGGTGGGAGGCCGAACCCGCTAGAGGGGCTTTCGCCGCGATGTCGGTTACCATGGCAACCGGTGCCCTCCCCCGCGGTAAAACCCTACGCTGACGTAAGACTGCTAGGACCGAAGAAGGAGATTGGTGCGTCTGGGGGCGGGTTTGCGCGCAGAGAGGATAAAGGCGCGGTGCGCCGAGGGCCAGCTGGGCTTTCTGCTCTGCGCGCTGTCTTCGTGCCACGTGCGTCTCCAGCGCCGCAGCGGCGCAGCATCTCTGGGCGGCTGCCTCGGAAGGTCAGTGCGGTGGGGCTGGATGTTCCCCCGCGGCTGATCCTGCGAACTGAGCCTCTTTGAAACGGAGGCTGACGCCGCGGGATTGCCTGACTTCCCTGCCCCCCACTGGCCCGATAGGTGTGACAAGGCCGGGCGCCCCAGACTCAGCTCCCCGTGGCGATCGCGGGTCCCCAGCCGTCGCTGCGGAACTGGGAGGCCGACGGAGGGTTGGGGTACTGCAGGAATCGACAGGCGCGGCTCCCGGCCCTTCCTAAGTTTCGAAAGGGCACCCCTGCCAGGAGCGGTTTTTCTCATAAACCGGTTTATCCCGTCATCTTCCCTGGAGGGTGGGCCCCCCACAACTTTTCCATAGGAAAGTGGGAGGCTAAGGCTGGAGATCCGCGAGCGGCCCTTGTCTCCACGTCTTTTGGGGTCTCTTAGGCCAGTGTGCACTGGGAGGAAGGTGCCGGGCGCCCGCTCCGCGGGGCCAGGTCTGTCCCTGAGACCCTCTGTAGCTCGCGCCGAGAGCTCCAGGATTCCCCGCCCCCACGACCCTTTCTGGCTTTCAGATCATCCCCACGTTAAGTCTAGACTTTACCAGCTGGTTGATGGAGTCTTTAGCAGTTTGCTAAGTGCTTTTTATAAATTGCTTTTATTAAATCCGGTCAGCATGTGGTGTCCCCTTTCTAAGGATGGGGATACTTGAGGTTGGCGAGGTTGGTGTATGCCGGCTCACGCTGGAGGGAAGGCGGTGTCTGGCCTTGAACCCCGGGTGCTGGTGGGTACTCTTCTCCTGGGGAGCGGCGAGGAGGAGGAGCCGAGCTGCAGGGGAGGAGGGGAGCGGGGACGGTGTCCTCTTTGTCCCCTCTCTTAGGTACCCGATATTTTCTCTTGGCAGGGAAGAGTGGGGGTGCTGGCAGGAGGGTTTGAGACTCAACGGACCTGGTTTGCAACCCCTTGCCTTTTGGTAATTAATAATGTGCCTGACCTTGGGCGGGTCAATTCATTCTGCAAAATGGAGAAAAGATCCCAGCTTCAGAGTTACTGTGAGGCTTAAATAAGAGTTCGGGAAAGCAGATCGTTTCCTCAGCGCTCAATAGTTGAGGTGCCAGATTTTCCCGTTGGATCGTTGCTATGAAGAGTACACGTTTGGGGACTTCTCTGGGGGTCCGGTTGTTAAGCATCCCTGTGTCCACTGCTGAGGGCACAGGCTCAGTCCTTGATGGGAGAACTAAGATCCAGAATGTCACAAGGTGCAGCTAAAAAAAAAAAAAAAAAAGACACATTTATTTTTATGAATTTTTTATGATTTAATGAACGGGAGGATATAAAGCCAAGACTGCCTTGCAAATAAGCAGTTATAAGCGTTATTGATCCTTAAAGCAGAGTGAGAGGTGGGAGAACTCAGGGGAGATGAAGATGGGCATGGTCAGCCCTGGGACAGGGTCCTGGGGCCAGGGTGTTGTCAACTGGTCAATGACTGACCTTTGGTGAAAGCAGTTTCACTGAGTGTGGATCAAGAAGGCCTGCTAGGAGGGGGTGGGGATGTAGCTTTGGAGCAGTATAAACAGTCTGGAGACCCCTGAGACTGGAAGGAAAGGTGAAAGCTGGATGAGAATGCTAGGTTTCAGCTGGTTTATAAGCAGAGGGCAAAGAACCATTTAAGGGGATTGGTGGGACCAAGGGCTTGGGAGTTTGAACTGGCTGGGGGTTTTGTGGGTCTCTGGGGCAGCACTGATCTACACTGGGTGAAGTTTCTAGCTCCCCAGTAATATATGTATGCACTGACCATTTCTTGGGTCTGGAGTTTTAAAAATTTGGTAAATTAATCACATAACATAAAATTTGCCCTCTTACCATTTTTAAGAGTACAATTCAGTACTGCCAGGTGTATTCACAGTGTTGTGCAATGGATCTCTAAAACTTTTTTATCCTGTGAAATGAAAGCTGTGCCTGTTAATTAAGCACTCGTATCCCCTCTCCGTTTCTCCCATCCCCTTGGCAACTAAATTTCCGCTTCCTGTTTCTATGCTTTTTGACGACTTTAGGTAACTCATGTAACTCATATGGGTGGAATCATACTGTATTTGGCCTTTTGTGGCCAGCTTATTTCAGTCAGCATAATGTCCTCCAGGTTCATCCGTGTTGTAGCATTTGACAGGATATCCTTTTTCAAGGCTAAGTAATATCCCATCACATGTATATACCACATTTTCTTTATCCATTCATCTGTTGGGAGCTGGATACTTGTAGCTTCATACTGAATGTGCTGGAGACATGACCTAATACATTTTTATTTACTATCTCTGTGTTGGGGTCCTTTAATGGACCGGAACCTGGTGGTACGGAGTCGACGATAAGAAAGTAAAAGAGAGAAAGAGAGAGAGAGAGACAAAAAAAGACCCGGGGACCTAAGCTCTGATGGAGCAAAGGTGCTCTAATGATTTTTCTATGAGTATATATAGGCTGTGGTACAAGAAACTTCTTTCAAGAATGATAGAGATCAGAAAACCAAACATACAGTAACTTTTACCAAGGGAACAAGAGGTAATGTTAGTCACAAGGTCAGGAGACAATCCGTATCTCATGAAGGGGGAGCAAGACTAAGCAATTTTGTCAAAAAGACAATGTTTACTAAAGGAGACCCAAGCCTGCCTCACACAATGACCTTAGTCCCTGGGAGCAGCGTGCTGCTCGCTTGAAGAGGGACAAAGGACTCATGAGAGACAGCACGTAGCAATCCTCCCGTCAAACACTCCCTGACATCTCTGTGGCTGAGAATGATGAGAGCTAGAGAGCTGGGAAGATCACAAGACAGCAAGAACATTAAGGGAAACCGATGATGCATCCTCTGAAAAACAGGTCTATTTTCTTGGTTTTCAATATTCCAAATTAGAGTTTCTTTTAATATTTTTGAAATAGAATTATCTGTCTTCAGAGAAATCACAATTGAATTACAGTTTTTTTTCCCCAAGAAATGGAAGTAATGTTCTGTGAAAACATTACTGTTTATTGTGGTGTAGACAAACCCCTGATACTTCTCTTTCCTGCCTGCCTGTTTGACATGGTATTTGAATTCTCACATGCATTAGGAACTGCTCAGTGGGACTCATAGCTCCCTGGGAGAGGCAGCCTTACTGGCTTCTGGCACCTAAAACCAACATGTCCAAAACCAAGCTCGTTTGTCTTCTTACCTGTTCTGCTCCTCCAGGAAGCTCATGCACAAATTAGAGGTCCGTGTTATTCTTCTCGATTCCTCACCAGTTGCTCCATGTCCCAGCAGTCACAGCCAGCTGGGCTCAGAGTCTGCATCTCTCTCACTCTCTTCACCATGCCGCGGCTTTCTTGAGCTCCGCTATGGTTAGGGCAGAAAGGTAGATGCCTGGAGATGGGAAGGTTTATATAACAACCACCCTAGCAAGGCTTGCGCTGGGGAGACGCTCAATTATTTAAGGGGGAAAGTGTGATGGCTTTTTCATCCTTTGGAATTAAAGTAAGCAAAGTGCTTAGGGGAGAAAGTCTAGGGACTTTCATCTGATCTCCAGTCATCTTTGATGGTTTCCATTTGTAAGTTTGATAACTATCTTGGCAAAGCAAGTCTTACTCTAGAACAGTTATTCTCAAGTGTAATCTGGGGAACCCTGGGGTTCCCTGAGACCTTTGTAAGGTCCATGAGGTCAAGGCTATTTTAAAGTAATACTCAGAAATTTTTCTGCCTTTTTCATTGTTTCTCTCTCAGATATGTGGTGGAATCTTCTAGAGGCCACATAGAGGCTTGTGATGAGCTTTTCCACTGGTCTAATGGGGTGTGTGCTTCTGTACTCTTGTGTTTCTAGAATCTTCTAAGGATAGCAAGCTTAAAGTATAAATATGTGCATTTTCAGAGATAAACTCCATTTGTTCTTACACTTCTATGCATTTTTATTAGCTACATGCTGTTATATCTGCTGTTATCTTTGGAGCCCATTTTCTTTTAATATCAATATGTCATTACTTTGAAATTCTAAGTTGAGCCTTTACCTAGATGGAAAAATAACAAAAAGTTTATTTTAATTTATTTTTTTTTATTTAAGGATACATCATTGGCTTAAAAGGAAGGCTATTAGAGGACTTGATTTTTTTCAACTCTAAGTTATACTATCTATGTGTATAAATGCCGAAAAGAAATGACACAAGAGTTCTCTGAATCATGGAAAGAGGAATTTTTCTCCAGATAAATGTACAAAATTAAATAACACATGAAAATATGAACGCTTTCCTTAGGTTTTACAGGTGTTAGAAATTTAACTTGTGTGTCTGACGCCACAGAATGTTTTGAATAATATTTTGGTGGCAATAACATTATTCTGAGACCAACCGTTCTGAATGAATGAAGTGTAGATAGGATGATCTCTTTAAAAGCCAAAAATTATTTGTTACAGCTTTCCAAACTAGAGAAGAAAAAACTATTGAAGTATGACAAGATAGGTTATCAAATTGCAGTGGCTGGAGAAACAATAAAGCCTTGTTTGTACGAAAAAGCATGGGAAAAACTCAGCACCGCCACTGCCTGATAATACAGTAACTTGTCAAAGACTTAGCTGCAAACATGAAGACTGACAGTAGAAGTGTATATCTTACAAGTGGAAGAATCTGTGGTCATGGCTGGACTTACCATTCTGTTTGTTTTCATACACTTATCAACGCCAAACCAATCATCAAAGACTATCTTTTTAGTGAATGTTTGACAGCAAACACAAATAGTGCCAAAGTCTTTGGTATAGAATTGTTTTTGTGAATTTCATGGTTTATCCTGGAACAACTGAGTTTTCGCTGACAGGGCACAGCCGCAGTGGCTGAAAGTACTGGTCCCTTTGAAGGAATCAAGGCAGTGGCACCACTTGGTCCTAGAAGTCATGGTATTCTTCACTGCCATCTGCTTTCCAGTAAAAAAATAAAAAGTGGAAAACTTAAGGGTTGTTGTGGCTCTTGTTGTTTAGCCCCTGAGTTGTGTCTGACTCTTTTGCAATCCTGTGGGCTGTAGCCCACCAGGCTCTTCCGTCCATGGGATTTTCAGGCAAGAATACTGGAGTGGGTTGCCATTTCCTTCTCCAGGGGATCTCCCCAACCCAGGGATCCAACTCGTGTCTCCTGCAGGTGGATTCTTTACCACTGAGCCACCAGGGAAGCCCCTTACTTAAGAATGCCCTTTATGAAACAGTAAAAAGTGATTAATTTTTATTAAACCTTAACCTCGAGATGTATCTTTTTTGTGTATCATGTGGTGAGTGGGTGTACTTGTTGTGTATCAAAATATGATGGTTGTTTTGAGATAAAGCATTTTGTGTGCTTGAATTGTGAGGTGAACTGGTCACTTTTTTTCCTTCAGTCTAATGCTCTCCAAACTGAGCTATTTTGGCCACTTGCAGGGTCATTTTTTTTTCATAGAGTACTAGTTTTACCTGAAAGAATGACTGATGAACTATGATTATTCATACCTGGATAATCGGCAAACATTTTCATTAAAAAAAAAAAAAAAGAACCTAGTGAGCCTGTCAAGGAAACAACCAATGGTATCTGTTGCAGGTTAACTTGTATATCTACCATTGTGAACTTGACTTCCCAATACTTAGGAATTTTCTGATGAGATCAGTGACATTAACTAGTATAACTTTGGGGAATTGTACAGTCAAGTGTGTTAGCAGTTAGAAGCTCTGCATAACTCACTGAATGAGTATTTTCCAAAAGACCAATGCATGGAATTGTAAAATCATACAGGAATAAAAGATCTGTTCAAAGCATTAGATATACTAGTGGGTTCTAATGTTACAGGTACAAAAATTTCATGATAATGTCTTCAGATTCTGTGTCGCAGCTAACTTAAAAAAAAAACTACTATGTGTTGAGTTCTGGATATCAAAGGTGAGTATCCAGAATTATCTGAGAAAGCTTTTAAGACACTGCTCCCTTTTCCTCACTGCTTTGCTTTGTGAGTCTGGATTTTCTTCATTTACTTCAGTCAAAGCAACAGCTTGAGTTAGAAGCAGGTGCAGAAATCCAGTTGTTTTTCTATTAAGGAAAACATCAAAGAGATGAGTAAATGTAAAACAGTGGCACTCTGCTCAGGATGTTTTTTGTTTTGGAAAATATATTTTCCTAAAATACATTTATATTAACACTAGATAGAGGAGCCTGGTGTGCTACAGTCCATGGGTCACGAAGAGTTGGACACGACTTAGCAACTTGAACAACAAAAGGAGTTCTAAGACCAGAAAATGTGAGAGCTGCTACCTTAAAAGCATTCAACTGAACTTGGAAATGGCAAGATAATAATCTTGACTTGGAAAAGCTACATGCTGTAGATGGGTGGAGGGCTTTTTGGTTTTGTTTTTAATGTATATGCATTGTTAATCAAAGCCATCCCATGACAGGGACCGTAGTGCTGCTTGATGGTTAAAAACTGGGTTCCCTGAGATGGGTGGTGGTTACGATGGTTAAATGCTATAATGCAGAAAGGCATTCATGGGCCTGTGGCCTATATTGAGCAATACATGTTAGCTAGTGATAGTTGTAGAATAGTAATAGTCATGAATTGTCCAGGTTGCTGCACTAACATACATTGTCTGAAGTTTCATCTCCCAGTGCTGTTGGAAATCTGACCTCTGACAGAGGTGGAGGCCACAGGGCAGTGTGCAGAGAGCAAGGCCCTGACCTTGCGGAGGGTGGGCAGGAAGGTTGCTGTTTGAACCGGTAGAGCACGCCCTGCACTCTGATCTACTCTTGTGACATGCTCACCTTGCATAAAGTTGGCAAGGAAGAGCAACTGGACTGCAGTAAAATACACGTGATCTTGGAAGAGGGGAGAAAATGGCTCTCTAAATTATCCTCTCTTAAGAGATGGCAGTGAAACAGAAATTAGTCACGGCTTACTCAGTATTGCTGGGGGCCTTTTTACCTTAACGATCTGCTTTTCTAGTCTGGATCACCCTTAAGACAATGTCTGAGTTAGCACTCAGATGTTAACCTCGGAGTCTCATAGGGTGCTGTGTTATTTAGTCCAGGACCTATTTGAGCTTCAGTGGTGCATGGACAGATGGTAGTGGTTGTGGAGATTGGAGGCTTTCACTTGGATCCGTGACTTGGTGTTCCTGGCATGGACGGTTCTGTACACAGTAACCTCCACTGTGACTTCAGATCCCGTTGTCGTCAGCACTTGCGGCTCCAGTGCTAAATCTCAGCCAGCCTTTGTTTGCCTGAACTTTGCATGAGCAACGTTTATCCCTTTTCACGGGGCTGGGCTCACGGTCGTCTCTAGATCGGCTCCCTGGCCCTGCTCTCAGCGGTCTCTTTAGTTTGGTTCATGAATCCAGGGCATGGCTTTGCTTGGGAGCTGGCGATCTTAGTGTTAGTTGTGGTTACATGGTTTGTGTCTTGAGGGGTCTGGAAGGTAAGCAGTTACATGTTGAAATTTGCTTTTTTGTTTATTAAAATTTTATTGAAGTATAGTTGATTTATAACGTGTTAATTTCTGCTATATAGCAAGTGACTCAGTTATACATACATATATATATATTATTTTTCATTATGGTTTGTCACAAAATATTGAATATAGTTCCTGCTCTACAGAAGGATCTTGTTGTTTATATAGAGTATCACGTTGGCCAAAAAATCCATTCCGGTTTTTCCATAAGCTGTTTTCCTGTGCTAATCCCAAACTCCATTCCTTCCCTTCCCTACCAGCTCCTCCCTGACCACTTCAAGTCTGTTCTCTATATCTGTGAATCTGTTTTTGTTTTGTAGATATTTTTTTTGCATCATATTTTAGCTTCCACATATGATAACATACGATATTTGTCTTTCTTTTTCTGACTGACTTCACACAGTATGATACTCTCTAGGTCCATCCATGTTTCTGCAGATGGCATTGTTTCATTCTTTCCCGAGTGCTAAGTTGCTTCAGTCATGTCCCACTCTGTGCGACCCTATGGACTGTAGCCCACCAGGCTCCTCTGTCCTCTGTCCATTCTCTAGGCAAGAATACTGGAGTGGGTTGCCATGCCCTTCTCCAGGGGATCTTCCTGATACAGGGATCGAACCTGCATCTCTTCAGTCTCCTGCATCGGGAAGTGGGTTCTTTACTACTAGCGCCACCTGGGAAGCCCTTCGTTCTTTTTTATGGCTGAGTGATGTTCCCTTGTATATATATGAACCACGTCTTCTTTAACTATTCGTCTGCTGATGGACACTTAGATTGCTTCCATGTCTTGGTTACTATAAATGGATGTGTCTGTCTTTTCTGAACTCCGCTCCTTTGGTGTTACAGGTGTGTCTCAGAGACCTGCCTGTTGTTCGGATGTTGCGGCGGGTTGCCTGCTGGATGCAGCCGAGCCCGGCCTGTGGCTGCCGGGCTCCTGTCCTACCCAGTCGGTTTCTGGGCACCTCCCCTCGGCAGATTCCAATGGATGCCAACTTCCACTCCACTTCGTTCTTGGAAGCAGACCAGCAGCGTGTCTTAATTACAGGTTGGGTTTTTCTTTCTTTCTCTCGCCTTTGTAGCTTCATTATTTTGTTTGTGTGGCTGTATGTTCGCTTTTGGAATGTCTGACATGCCACCAGGTAACATGTATTCTTCAGAAACTCCCTTCCCACTCTTGGCTTCCTCCTGAATTGTGCAAATCCCTGGTGTTTATTTTGTCGCTGTTGACAGGGCTTGGTTTCCCTGCCCAAATCTCTTGTCATCTGAAGAAAGGACTTGGGAACCTGGGGATGAAAAAGCTACCCTGGGACTTGGTTCCCCTTTCCTGCTCGAGATCCAAGGTGTGTGGACAAAACGTGGACTCTGGAGTCTGGCACATCTTTCCTTGTCCAGGCTCCTCCGGCCCGGAGTTACTGCATATTTGTGTCTTGGAGGTGGAGAAGATAGCCAGGGCCTTCCCGGGGCTCAGAGGACTTCTCGCCATGACCTCATGGAGCCTGCATCTCATTGTCCACAGACTGGCTCGCCAACCCTCTCACCTCCTGTCCACCCAACTCCCGGCTCTGCATCTGCTCACTGAAAATTTGACCGTCTGCCCACAAGTCCTTCCAGCTGACTCAAGCCCAATGCTGATTTGATGAGCACATTTTATTGTCTTCTGTTTGCCAGTGTCTCATGCCTTGACTTCACGTCCTTATCCATCTTCCCTTCCTCAGTGTGTGCACCTTTCTCTCGCTGCCACCTCCTCCTCTGCTGTAAATGGGTTTCGAGTGAGGTCTGCTCCCTTAGCGCCTCCTTCCCTGACTCTCCCAGCATCTTCTATGTCTTTGAGTCCCTCCTCCCGACACCAACAAAGCACCCTCCAGGTGTTACCGTCAGCGTGCTGGTTTCAGCCACATGTTTACACGTGATTACAGGAGATCCCACAGTCTGCATCTTCCTGCCTGATTACTTTCTCCAAAATGGAATTTAGGGTTGTATTCCCCTAAATGTGTTCCTAGACCCCCAGCTCTCCCATGTCCACCGATGGCATTTGTAAGCATCCAGATTGAGATGCTGTAATCATTTGTTTAATGTTCTTAGCAGCTCCTAAACGACCCAGTTATCTACTATTTTTTTCAGGTGACTTCTTGGTTTTTGCCTCCTTTCTTCATTCCTATTCCACTGCAGGTCTAATGGAGGAGGGTGCTCTGGATAATCCCACCAGAGGTTGATATCCAACTATTATATCTGCAAATAAACTTATTTACAAAGTAGAAACAGACTCATAGACTTAGAGAACAAACTTATGATTATCAGGGTAGGGTAGGAAGGATGAGGGGAAGGGACAGTTCGGGATCAACGTGAACACACTGCTGTATTTAAAATGGATAACCAACAATGACCTACTGTGTGACACATGGAACGTTGCTCAATGCTCAATGTCATGTGGCAGCCTGGATGGGAGGGGAGTTTGGGGGAGAATGGGTACGTGGATATGTGTGGCTGCGTCCCTTTGCTCTTCACCTGAAACTACCACAACATTGTTAATCGGGTATACCCCAATGCAAAATAAAAAGCTTCTTAAAAAAAAAACTATTACACGTGGCTACTATTAGTGTTCTGGTACCCGGAGGAGACAAGCTTCATAGCCCATCAAATAACAAAGCCAAAGCTGGTAGTGCGCTCCTGGCTGGGAGATGCTCCTGCTCTCCTGTGACTGTTGCCTGACTTCCCCTCAGCCATTGCTCCGCTCGAGAATGTTCTGTCTCTGAAACTCATCTTACCTGTACTCATCTATGACCTAGCTTGGAGAAGGTGATTCAACTCCATCAGGCCATCCTGGGGCTTTACCTAATTAGCTAAGATTACCAGTAGAGTTTTATTCTGTTATTACATCCTGGGAATAATTGAACTGGTTTGATTTAAATTGAAGTTTCATTTTTTTCTTCTTTATCCAGGGGGTCTTGGCCAGCTTGGAGTGGGGCTTGCTAACTTTCTGAGGTAAGAGCTCTCAAAGTTGAAATTAAAATCTGAGTTTGGGGGTATGTGAAGCTTATCTTTGCTCCTGTTTAACCACTGAATCTCTGCTCTCCCCTCTTGCTCCTGACTCTTACGACATTGCATCTAAATGGCCGCTGGGAATGCGGTTCATTGTGCCTCTCAGCGTGGCAGACTCTGTCTCAGGTCCTGACTCGTGTGCCCATGCTGGTCCTTTGCCCTCTGCCTTCTCTCGGTTAGGCAAAGTAAGACCTGCTCCAAATGAGTCGGTCAGTTTTTTGGTGTTTGGGGCCTGAGAGAAGAACCTGTAGAAACTAAAAAGGAACAAGGTGGGATTTAGAGAAAGCAAAAGGGATAAAAGGAAAATAGAGAAGGACAGGGGGGAAGAGGGAAGGACTGCGGGGCACGGGGAAGACATTGGTGACAGGTTCCCGGACGATGATGGGGTAAGGTACAGACAGGAGATGCAGCCCCGAGTGTGGCTGGAACTGCAGGGGTGCTTGTTGAGGATGGAGAGGAAGAAAGGCTCCTGTGTAAAGGTGGGATGGAGGCGGGCAGTACATGGCAGTTCCTCCAGGCAGGATGGCGTTCACAGGCCCAGGTATGTCCTCAAGTGTACCATCTCGTATGTTTGACTTTCCCTTTAGGAAACGATTCGGGAAGGACAATGTGATTCTGTCTGACATTCGGAAGCCCCCGGAACACGTCTTCCTTAGTGGTAAGAGGCTCTCAGAGCAGTTGGAGAGGCAGCTCGTAGGATTCATGTCATCGCTCATAACCAGGCTTGTGAATTAAAGGAGGAGGAGTATTTGAGGCACTCTTGGGCTACTTAAAAATGTTTCCTGCTTTTGGATTTCCCTGGTCATTAGGTGGTTAAGACGCCATGTTTCCAATGCAGGGGGCATGGGTTCAATCCCTGGTCAGGAAACTAAGATCCCACATGCTGTGGGAGTGTAGCCAAAAAAGAAAAAAATGTTTTCTTGTTTTTGTCTTCATTAGTTCTGTAAAACATCACTGGTATAGTCATTGCTTGTTCAGGTGATCCAGGGACAGAAGTTCATTAGACCTTGGTGTAAAGTTGTAGAGTGATATCTTTGGATATAATCTGCAGCCATAGCTGTGGAATAAAAATTTGGATTCCTACTTTTCAGAGTTTTTAGTGAACTTAACTCAGAGAGAAAGCACACAGAAATCAAGTTCTGAAATGAGGAAAAGGAACTTTAAGTTTTGGAGGAATTAATCCTCCTATTTCAGCATGGACTTGCTCTTATATACCTGTGCACACACACGGATCTCAGACTCCTATAGGCGAGTTGTTTACCACCTCAAAGATGTTTTTATGTATTTTTTATTTTTTTGAAATTCCCATGAGCATATTATTGGATAAATGTGTGCATTGCATTCTTATTGTTGCTATAACCTACATAAAATAGTGACTTAAGAAATTAAAGTTCTAGAGGTCAGGTCAGAAATTAAAACTCATTTCATTGGGTCGAATACAAGATGTCTGGGAGAGCTGGATCCATCAAGACACTCCCGGGGAGATGGCTCTAGCTTCCTAGATCACTTCCTCATCAAAAATATCTTTATAACATCTCCTAGCCCTTCCTGGTTCCAGGTCAGTCTTTTGCGGTTCACCTTAGGGAAGAGCATTAATGTACTGAAAGTGGGGGAAATTGGCACTGCAGAAATCTGGCTCTACCTCTACCCTAACCAGGTGTGTTAAGCCCACAATTTGTGGGTCATTTATATCACAGTGGGTTTTTGGCTTTTGTAAACCCATTTTATCTATTCCTTTAAAATATGCAGCTTATTTAAGCGGATTGAAATCACCAGGTGCCTGCAGGTTTGGCGTGAACAGCATTGACTCAAGCCAGCTGCCTGGTTTTGATCCCAGTTCTTAATCTTAATTCCTGGCAAGTTACTTAACCTGTCTTGGCCTCAGTTTCCTCCTCAACAAAATACTTACCTCAAAGTTTGTTTGAGAGTTAAATGTACAGTAAGTCCCCTACATATGAACTTTCAATTTGCAAACGTTCAAAGATGTGAAGGTGCATGCCAGCCTCTGTGTGCTAGCTGTTGTACTGTACTATTGTACTTTTCAAGGTGCTAGACTGTCAGATTAAAAATGTTTTATTTTTTGTTTGTTATGTATGTATTATTTGCATTAAAAGTTCTATAAACCTGTTACAGTATAGTACTATATAGCTGATTGTGTTAGTTGGGTATCTAGGCTAACTTTGTTGGACTTATCCCTGGGTTTGGAAGTTCCTCTGGAGAAGGGAATGGCGATCCACTCCAGTATTCTTGCCTGGAGAATTCCATGGACAGAGAAGCCTGGTGGGCTACAGTCCATGGGGTCGCAAAGAGTTGGATACGACTGAGCAACTAACACACACATGCACAAATGGGGCTTACGAGCGTGCTCTCAGGATGAACTCATTCCTGTGTAGGGCATTTGCTGTACAGAAAACCCTTAGAATAGCGCTCAGCAGGTACAAGTCCTGTGTAAGACTTAGGTGTTGTTAACCATGGAGTGTGTGTGTCAGTAGCTCAGTCACGTCTGCCTCTGTGACCCCATGGACTATAGCCTGCCAGGCTCCTCCGTCCATGGGATTCTCCAGGCAAGAATACTGGAGTGGGTAGCCATTCCCTTCTCCAGGAGATCTTCCCGACCGAGGGATCCAACCCAGGTCCCCTGCATTACAGGCAGATTCCTTACTGTCTGAGCCACCAGGGAAACACCTGGGGGTCGGGCTTTGTACTCTGCATAAGAAAAATGCTGAGTTGTGTCCGAATGGTTGTTAAAAAGTTGGTAGCAATGGAATTCAAAATCAATGGGAAAATCCGTTGACGTTTTCAAGCCCTGAACTCCTTCACTTGCCCGTTTCACTGCTCCTTGCAGGCCCGTTTATTTATTCTGACATCCTGGATTACAAGAATCTTCGGGAGATTGTGGTGAACAACCGCATCACCTGGCTGTTTCATTACAGCGCCCTGCTCAGCGCAGTGGGAGAAGCAAACGTGTCCCTGGCCAGAGCCGTGAACATCACTGGTGAGTCTCTGGTCGTGCCCCAGATGGCCTGTTCGCAGGATTCCCCAGTTCCTTGCGAAGAGGTCTCCCAGGTTACGACAGCTGCTTGTTTTAGGACTGCACAATGTCCTGGACGTTGCCGCAGAGCACGGTCTGCGATTGTTTGTGCCAAGCACCATCGGGGCGTTCGGACCTACTTCTCCACGGAACCCAACCCCTGACCTCTGCATCCAGAGACCCAGGACCATCTATGGGGTGTCCAAGGTCCATGCTGAGCTTATGGGCGAGGTGAGCATCGCCCGGCAAGGTGACTCAGTGTTTCCTTTTCTGTTTTTGTCTCAAACACCTGCTAATTCATCCTTGGAGAGGACTTCCTCCCTCCTCCAATCCCTGCCCCCAGAAATGCTTGGGGACTGATTGTGTTTGCCAAGTGGCCAGTACCCAAAGCTCCAGCAGAATCCTCAGCCCTGTGCTAACATTCAGCACTTCAAACATGCCCCTTGAATGGCACCCCTCCTTCATTTGCTGCCCATCTTATTTGTACTGCACTGTTCTTTCAGGCTCCTGATATTACTGTTATCAGAGCTAACTTTAAGATAACTTCAAGTGTCCTTTTGGTTTTCTTTTTTAATGCACTTTGTCATTATAACTGTATAGCACGTCTTTTTTTGGTCATGCCTTGTAGTTTATGCTTATGGGATTTTAGTTGTCCAACCAGGGTTTGAACCTGGGCTCTCAGCATTGAAAGTGCAGAGTCCTCACCACTTGACTAAAATATCCATAAAGGGCGTTTTAGCTGGTGTCTGGCCCTTCAGCTGATGTATTACAGCGACCCTCTTTCCCTCTGCTCCCAACACTGCCTCCTAGGACAGGCTCATGGACATTCGTTCAGGACAATGAGCAGGGTCTTCCTTCCAAAGAAAGGCAAAACTCCCCAGTCAGCTGATCTGTTATTTACTGTGTTGTCTAACGATGTTATCACCAGAATGGTGATTCTTTGAAGATTACAAACTTCAGGGTTATTTGTTAAAGAAAAATGGCAATTCTAGGGTCTTCATTTCCTCGAGGAGGATTTTAAGATGACTGTGTGGGGGGATGTTTGAGGAAAAGGCTGTTAATTCTTTGCATTGCTCTACCTGATTTAAAAGATTCTTTTAAAGTTAAGTTTTCTCTTTCTCATAGTATTATTATTACCGGTATGGATTAGATTTCCGATGCCTGAGATATCCTGGAATCATTTCTGCTGACTCCCAGCCTGGAGGAGGAACAACTGGTAGGGTTGTTTTTTATTTCTTTTTTATGTAAGATTAGCTTTCTATTTGCCTGGTGGAGTGGGGATGGATCTGCTGTCATTTCAGCCATATGCTGGCTGGCGTCTTTGCATCCTTCCTGAAAAGTGCACCTGAGAAGCTCATTGAACCCTATTGACTTAAACTTGTTCAGGGCAGCTCAACCAATGCTGTAAATCCAATGGAATTTACCACCCACAGTGCCAGAATCAAACTGACTAATTTCACTAAGCATGTTACCTTCCAAGTTCATCCATGTTGTTGTAAATTGCAAAATTTTATTCTTTTTTATGAGTGAGTAGTATTCCGTTGTGTCCATTAGCCAAATCTTTATCCATTCATCTGCTGATGGACATTTACATTGCTTCCATGTCTTAGTTACAGTAAATAAAGCTGCAGTGAATGTTGGACTGAGTGTATCTTTTCAAATTAGTGTTTTCTTTTTCTCTGAATATGTACCCAAGAGTGGAATTGCAGGGTCATATGGTAGTTCTATATTTAGTTTTTTGAGGAGCCTCCATACAGTTTTCCACATTGTTATCATTTTGGACTTGAGCATGCATTATGTTCATTAACTCCCGCATCAGAGATCCTTCCCATATGAGGGGTTCTGAGATATAACATAAAAGATACTTGTCAACATCTGAGGGATTTTTACTATAGCTTTGTAGTATTGTCTGAAGTCTGGGAGGCTTATACTCCAGCTTTGTTCTTTTTCCTCAGGATTGCTTTGGCAATTCTGGGTCTCTTGTGGTTCCATATAAGTTTTAGAATTATTTGTTCTAGTTCTGTGAAAAATGTCATAGGTAGTTTAACAGGGATCACATTAAATCTGTAGAGTGCTTTGGGTAGTATGGCCATGTTAACAATACTGTTGTAATTCTTTCAATCAAAAGCATGGGCTATCTTTCCATTTCTTTGAATATCTTCAATTGAAATGTGAGGGATTTTATTACTAAAAAAATTTTTAACTTCTTATTTTGTATTGGGATATAACTGATTAAAACTGTTGTGTTAGTTTCAGGTGAGCTGCAAAGGGACTCAGCCATAAAAATTTGAGGGATTTTTTTTTAAGGGATTTTAAAAGAGCCTTTGGGTTTGGTTACTTTTTAAGAATTTGCCTAATGCAGTGCTTCTCCAGGAAGGCACTGGGAATCCCTGGGGATCCTTGAATCAAACCCTCTTAAGGGATCCAGGAGGTCAAAATAGTTTTCATATTAATACTAAGATATTATTTGTCCTTTTTACCGTCCTTTTCAGGAATACTGTGGAGTTTCTCACAGGCTGCCTGATATATGTAGCCTAGCAGACTGAACACAGAAGCAGAGATTCTTACTGTTTCCCATTAAGCCAGGGAATAAAGAGATTTTCAAAATGAAAAACACACCATTCTTCTCACTAAATTTTCTCTTACTTGGAATCTATGTTCTTTTTTCACGTGTAATATCATACATATGAATGTGTGGGTTTATTATCATTTTTTAAGTGTACAAATATTTTTTAAAAGTTAATTTCTGATGCAGAAGATGTTGCTGTCTGTGTATATGTGCTCAGTCACACATCATGTCCAACTCTTTGCAACCCCATGAACTGTAGCCCTCCAGGCTCCTAAAACTCACCTTAATAAAACCTTTTTGGGGCCCCTCAGTGATTTTTTTAAGCCCACAAAGAGTTTCTGAGACTAAGACATCTGAGAACCACTGCCTTAATCCAAGAGGCTCACTCATAATTTTTGTTGTAAGATGACCCTCAGACAAGCTTCTCTTTTAGACTATGCAGTCCAGATTTTCCATGAAGCTGTCAAGAATGGCAGATTTGAGTGCAACCTGAAACCCGACACCAGGCTCCCAATGATGTACATTGACGACTGCCTCCGGGCCACCCTGGAGGTCATGGAGGCCCCAGCAGAGTCCCTGTCCATGAGAACCTACAACATCAACGCCATGAGCTTCACCCCCGCGGAGCTGGCCCAGGAGGTGCTCAAGCATGTGCCAGAATTCCAGGTCACCTACAATGTGGACCCTGTCCGACAGGCCATAGGTTGGTGCACTGCTGCGTCCCCCCAGAGCCAAAGCTGAGCTTCAGTCCGCCCCACGAGTCCGTGAGGACATAAACCATGGAGGAGAAGGAGAGCTCAGTGCCTTCCCCAGGGGCCCGACACCTTCTGAAGAAGGAGCTGCTGTTGCACCAGGGCTGGCAGATGGCACAGTTTTGGGAAATGATGTCCAAAGTGGGTGGACTAGAGCAGTCCAAATAAACAACTTGTAGGCATTTTGCCATTTGCCAGTTTAAACATCAAACAGACAGACATAGTATTAGAGCAGCCCTGGGTTCTCAAAGGCTGTGACTGTTCCCCTGCATGAGTGCCATCTGAGCATGGCAGTCCCACCTTACAAGTCTGCAGGGGACTCTCCTAGTGGGTGACCACTCACAGTGCCTGGCAGTAGATACAGGCTTCTAGTCTAAGAAGGTGACTGTGTGTGCCCGTAATAGCTGCTCTGCTCTGCTTAAGGGAGATTTCAAAGAGAACGTTTCTTTCATGGAATGTTGACCTTTATTTAAAGTGTTCTAGACCTTTTTGCAAACCTAGAACCTGAATAACTTAAGCTCCTTTTCCATGTCTTATCCTAGCGGATAGTTGGCCAATGAACTTTGATGATAGCAATGCTCGGAAGGACTGGGGATGGAAGCACGATATTGACCTCCCGGAGCTGGTGACGACAATGTTGAACTTCCACGGTTCTGAGAACAGAGTTGCCCAGGCTAACTGAAGGAGCTCGTGAGTCCTGGGTGGCTGTCCAGGGAAAGCCATAACAACCCTGTGGTTCCGGACCCCAAGGAATCTAGATGATGTGGGGCTAAAGGACTAATTGGATTGAATTTTCGCAGCTCATATTGAACTGCCACATGGAGAACTGACTTGGCTTTAAGCATCTTCTCAGTGCTGTAGGTTTGGTGGTAGCCCTTCTGAATCTTTACTGTTTGCCTAAACTTGTCCAAATCACAGAATGAAGACTTAAGTCACAATCATTTCTATTTCCTTAATTAAGATGAAGTGACCACTTCCAGGAAGATATGTGACATTTGTATTAAATTAAACTTAATTTAAATATTACTCCTAAGACTCCATCATTCCCTTGACTAAGACCAAAGATTTCTTTTTAAAGACCATCAAAGATAATCTCCCAATTTAAAGAATTGTTTACTATCCCATCAGAGCCTAAAGAATGTCTGTGTATTAATCCCATGTTCACAATGTTCAAGAGATTTTAACCTGTCAAAAATGATCACTTCCAATTTATTTTTCTCTAAGAAGATACACTACTGGTAGGAAGCTAAGAATATCAGAGATGATCTAACTGGTCAAGGGGAGCATCTCTTACTTTGATTGCCTTCCTGCTGGTGAGCTGGGGGTGGTGACAGGGACTTTGATCCCTTTCCTGCCACGTCAGAATGTCCTGGAGCTTGTCTAAATGTACAGGTTTGGGGGCTCCACGCCTTCGGGTAGACTCAATTGATGGAGGTGGGAATCTCAAGGACCATGAGTCAGTCTCTTCCAGCACTGGGCCCCCAAATTTGGACCAATTCCAAACACGATTTCCTAAAGAGGACTTCCTTGCAACAGCCTTTCTGTGCACTCTTAGATGAGCTTTCAGAAGAGCTCCACTAATCCTCTGAAGGGCTTCTCAGGTGGCTCAGTGGGAACCAGTCTGCCTGCAATGCAGGAGACGTGGGTTCAATCCCTGGAAAATCCCCTGGAGAAGGAAATGGCAACCCACTCCAGTATTCTTCCTGGGAAATTCTGTCCTGGGAAATCCCATGGGCAGAGGAGCCTGGCAGGCTACAGTACATCAGGTTGTAAGAGTTGAATGTGACTTAGTGACGAAGCAACAAACACTTAAATGCAAATGGAAGATGGAAAAGGAAGGAGGCCTGTGTTCCATCATCACTCTACTACAGGGGCATTCACTTGCTGTTCAAAGATACTCACTTGCCCATTGTGGGGAGGGGGGTCTATGCTCTGCCCCCTCCCCTGTTCCCTAGAGCACTGAAGCCTGCCAACAGTTCTAGGTCTGCCAGGATTCATAATCCAAGGACCTAAAGGAGACCAACTGCCTAGCAAATAGGCAGTGACACTTTAAATGTTTCCCTTCTTTCCTTGATGACACTTTTGTACTTGAACATGAGCCTGTCTGGAACACTGGAAATCCACAAGTCTTCCGAGTAAGTACAAAATGTGAAAATCTGATTTTAGAGGGGCGTTTGATTTGGTGTTTGATTTGCTTTGCACCTGGAGGAGAAACGCATTCTGGCCGTCGCTTTGCCTGAGGTTGTGGATCTTGACCAAGTCCCTTCCTGTCTTAAGTCTCCACTTCCTCACCTGTGAGAAATGGCGTGAGCCTGGCTGCAGCTTCCTGACTTCCAAGGCTGTGGTTTCAATCAGGGGACTAGAAACAAGATCACAGTTAAACATTTCCTGAAAAAGTAGCATTGGGTATGTTTGAAAGCATTTTTGCAAACATGTAATTTATGGGGCATAAGAAAACCAACTGGGGGATAAGAGGAGGAGGGGTAAATTGGGAGATTGGATTGACATACACAGACTACTATATATAAGTAGGAGCTAATAAGGACCTAATACAGCCAGGGAACCCTGCTCAATACTCTGTAATGGCCTATACGGGAAAAGAACCTGAAAAAGAGTGAGTACGTATGTATGTATAACGGATTCACTTTGCTGTGTACCTGAAATTAACAAGCATTGTACATCAACCACACTCAACTGTATATATATCAACTCAACTCAACTATGATCAACTATACTCACTGTAAATCAACACTGTAAAAAAAACTATACTTTTATTGTTTATAATAAAAATTATAAAAAACAGAACTGCCCCAGCCCCACAGCTCTGCTCAGGGACCACCCATCCTCACAGGCCACCTCCCCTCCCCACCCACACTTTCCTTCTCTTCTGTAGTGTTTGCTCATCAGAGGTGAGCCTGGCAGTGTTTCCTCACTTCACTGGTGAGACATTAAGGCTCTAATGAAAGATGAATCAATATTTCCAGTCCTTCTCCTTTAAATAAACCATTATCAAAATGCCCTAATGAAAAATTACTTTGCTTAAAATTATTCGGCACATTCATATTAAAGCAAAATTATTTTGTTTTAATAAAACAAACAAATTATTTTGTTTTGCTGAGAAATATGTAAAGCTGAATTGCATGTTTCCAGTCAGTGAAAGAGGTAGAATATATATATTGCAACAGTTTGACAATTTCTAGTTTTCTCCTTAAGTCATTGAGTTTGGGGGTAGGGGAAACATTTGCTAAATATCTTCCATATGCTTTGATACTAATTTTGCAATGTTTGGAAATAAACTCTGGAAATGAACTGCTGTGCTGATGTATTTATTCAGTCTTGAAACAGATGGGATTCTGTTTGAAAGAGAGAAATGATTTTTAAGAATCTTTCTGTTTTAGTAAAAGATTAAAAAAAAAAGTCCCTGTTCATACTGAATTTTGTATAATTGTATGCAAACTGTTTTCAACACTTCTGTTTAAAGATGGTTTACAACTCCCTGGGAAGATTCCTTTTCACTGAAAAATAATAATAAGAATACTCATTTTAGTGAGTGTTTCTGTTTTGCTGTTTAATATCACTTTTCACAACAAATACCAGGGAACCCAGATTGACTTCATAATTAAAAACATGCATCACTTATACCTCTCTTATCCCCAGTTGAAATTTTAAAACACCACTTTTAACATTTCTCCCCCTTTCACTTAAAAGTTGGGTGCATATTTACTATCTTTTTTTTCCTGATCCAAGGTACTCTTTCAGAAATTCCTGGGTTACTGTTGTTTAGTCGCTAAGTTGTGACTCTTTTGCAACACCATGGACTGTAGCCCACCAGGCTCCTCTGTCCGGTCCATGGGATTTCCCAGACAAGAATACTGGAGTGGGTTGCCATTTCCTCTTCCAGGGGATCTTCCTGACCCAGGGATGGAAACCGTGTCTCCTGCACTGCAGGCAGTTTTTTTTTTTTACCACTGAGCCACCAAGGAAGGCCTTTCCTAGATTAATACAACAATGGAATTCTCATATGCACAGATAAAGTGAAAAGTGAAGGTTGCTCAGTCGTGTTGGACTCTTTGCGACCCCCTAGACTATACAGTCCATGGAATTCTCCAGGCCAGAATACTGGCGTGGGTAGCCTTTCCCTTCTCCAGGGGATCTTCCAAACCAGGGATCGAACCCAAGTCTCCTACATTGCAGGTGGATTCTTTACCAGCTGAGCCACAAGGGTACTGGGGTTAATAGTCAGCCACCTGTTGCTCTGGCTAAGCCATGAAAAATCACCATGGGAAAAGAATAAAAGCAAAATATAGCAATACAGCATAACCCAAATAAAAGCACATCAGGTTGATCCGTTGAGGTTGTCATGCCCTGCTAAGCTAAGGGGAAACAGTGTGGACCTTGGAATGCTGGATCAGTGCAAGTTCATAACACTGCTTGTGCACACTAAGATGTTTTTCCAAGGTATATGTGGGTCTATGACCTCCAGCTAGGTGATAGCCCTTGTACAAGAAAATAACAAAGATAGTTTAAAGTAATCAATACCCAGAGATCAAATTGCCAACATCCGTTGGATCATCAAGAAAGCAAGAGAGTTCCAGAAAAACATCTACTTCTGCTTTATTTGACTATGCCAAAGCCTTTGACTGTGTGGATCACAGCAAACTGTGGAAAATTCTTCAAGAGATAGGAATTCCTGACCACCTGACCTGCCTCCTAAGAAATCTGTATGCAGGTCAAGGAGCAACAGTTAGAACTGGACATGGAACAACAGACTGGTTCCAAATTGGGAAAGGAGTAGGTCAAGGCTGTATATTGTCACCCTGCTTATTTAACTAATATGCAGAGTACATCATGAGAAATGCTGGGCTGGATGAAGCATAAACTGGAATCAAGATTGCTGGGAGAAATATCAATAACCTCAGATATGCAAATGACACCACCCTTATGGCAGAAAGCAAAGAAGAACCAAAGAGCCTCTTGATGAAAGTGAAAGAGAAAGGTGAAGATGTTGGCTTAAAACTCAACATTCAGAAAACTAAGATCATGGCATCTGGTCCCATCACTTCATGGCAAATAGATGGGGAAACAGTGGAAACAATGGCTGACTTTATTTTGGGGGGCTCCAAAATGACTACAGATGGTGACTGCATCCATGAAATTAAAAGATTCTTGCTCCTTGGAAGAAAAGTTATGATCAGCCTAGACAGCATATTAAAAAGCAGAGACATTACTTTGCCAACAAAGGTCCATCTATACAAAGCTATGGTTTTTCCAGTGGTCATGTATGGATGTGAGAGTTGGACTAAAGCAAGCTGAGTGCCGAAGTGTTGGTGCTTTTGAACTGTGGTGTTGGAGAAGACTCTTGAGAGTCCCTTGGACTGCAAGGAGATCGAACCAGTCAATCCTAAAGGAAATCAGTACTGGGCGTTCATTGGAAGGACTGATATTGAAACTGAAACTCCAATACTTTGGCCACCTGATGTGACTCATTGGGAAAGACCCTGATACTGAGAGGGATTGCGGGCAGGAGGAGAAGGGGACAACAGAGGATGAGATGGTTGGATGGCATCACCGACTCAATGGACATGAGCTCGAGTAAACTGCAGGAGTTGGTGACGGACAGGGAGGCCTGGTGTGCTGCGATTCAAGGGGTTGCAAAGAGTTGGACATGACTGAGTGACTGAA